ACCTCTCCCGGGGCGGCTTGGGCTTCCTCACAGCATGGCCCCTGACATCCAAGCAAGAGCATCTCCAGAAAATCAGGTGGAAGCCGCATCGCCTGTGATGGCCTACTCTCTGAAGTCACATCACATCACTTTGGTGGTCGTCACGGGCCTTCCTAGATTAAAAAGAAGGGAACATAGGCACCACGTCCTGATGGGAACAAAGTCAAAGGCATAAATAGAGCACAGGCTGAGTGCAGTGGCTTCTGCCTATAATCCCAGTGCTTTGGGAGGCCCAGGGAGGAGGATCACTTGAGGCCAGGAGTTCAAGACCAACCTGGGCAATGTAGTGAGACCCTGTCATTACAAAAATAAAAAATAAAAATAAACTGGGTGTGGCAGTGTAGACCCACTAGTTGGAGGCTGCAGTGAGCTGTGATCACACTGCTGCACTCCAGCCTGAGTGACGCAGCATTAAGACCCTGTGTCTAAAAAGGAAGGAGGGGGAGGAGGAGGAGGAGGAGGAGAAGGAGAAGGAGGAAAAAGAAGGAGAAGGAGGAAGAAGAAAGAGAAAGAAGAAGAAGAAAGAAGAAGAAAATGTGGATGGGAGATGTTGTGGCCCCATTTGGAAACTACAACCTGCCACCCGGTTCAGGCAGTTCTCCCTGGAACGCCTTTGCTCCCAACCCCAGTCTCTCTGCAAGGTCCAGTTCCATGGAAGCCTGGTGCCCCTCCGTGCCAGGCCCTGCCAGCAGGAAGCTTTGCTGTCCTCCAGCTCCCACAGCACGTGTTCCCTCCCTCCCCTGTGAGCGGGGTGCCCTTCTGTTGTTTCACAGTCACTGATGTGCGGGGCATCACAGGAAGAGGTGCCTTGTCGCTGGGGCTCACAGCCTAAGGCTGATCAGCTCACCTACACCCCAGGAACCCCCGCCACTGTCTCTAATAAATAAATTTCCTAAAGGTAGTGACTTAGTCTCACACATCAGTATATTCCCAGCACCTCTATCATAGGCGCTACTGTATTTATTTATTTAGTTAGTTTTTGGTTTTTGTTTTGTGTTTTTTTCTTTTTTTTTTTCAGACGGAGTCTTGCTCTGTTGCCCAGGCTAGAGTGCAATGGCACAATCTCGGCTCACTGCAACCTCCGCCTCCTGGGTTCAAGCGATTCTTATGTCTCAGCCTCCCAAGTAGCTGGGATTACAGGCACCCGCCACTGCACCCGGCTAATTTTTGTATTTTTAGTAGAGATGGGTTTTTGCCATATTGGTCAGGTTGGTCTCAAACTCCTGACCTCAGGTGATCCGCCTGCCTCTGCCTCCCAAAGTGCTGGGATTACAGGCGTGAGCCACCGCACCCAGCCTTGTTTAGTTTTTTAGAGACAAGGTCTTGTGCCGTCACCCAGGCTGAAGTGCAATAGTGTGATGGAACGCTGGGGCTCAAGCAATGATCCTGCCTGAGCTCTGGGATTACAGGTGTGCACCACTGTGC